CTCCATGAAATTTTCCCTGACACTGAAGGCCCTTTGTTGGGTATCTTTTTCCCTGTGGTTAGGACATCTTCTGTATCCTCCATTATAGCAATCACGAGTATTTTACTGTGTTGTAGAGATTTTTTTTTACATTTCTATCTTCCCGAACTGTGCATACCTTGTAAGCTGGGATAAGGTCTCTTCATTTTTTTAACACTCGCCCAGCAGGGACATAATAAGTTTCAACAAATACTGTATAAATTAATTATATTAAAAATTTTATAGCACTCTAAAATTGAGGGAATTAAAACCCTGATCTTATTCTTTTTTTAAAAAAAAAAATAATAATTTGAGAGCCAGGACTGGTATAAATAAAAAATATTAAAAAACTACAAAAATCTAACCGTGAATTAATGGTTATTAATGTCATTATCAATAGCATTATAGTAGCATTATAATAATATTATAACACTATTTTAGGGTAGGGGAAAGAAACATTTAACCAATTTACCCTCTTTTATGGGTTGAATAGTCTACTCCTCAAAGTCATGTCCTTCTTGAAATCTCAGAAAGTGACCTTGGTTGGAAATAAAAGTGTTAAGTTGAAGTTTTACTGGAGTGGGGTGGGCACTTGATTCAATATGACTTGTCCTTATAAGGCAAGAAGAGACACAGACATAAGATGGGAGAAGGCCATGTGATTTTGATAGAAGCAGAGACAAAAGTGCTTCAGCTGCAAGCCAAAGAATGCGAAGGATTGCTGGCAACCACCAGAGGCTAGGAAAAGTAAAAAAAATTCTTCCCTACAGGTTTTCAGAGGGGTCATGGCCCTGCCAACACCTTGATTTCAGACTTCTAAGCCTTCAGAACTGTGAGACAATCCTACCTATTGTTCCCCTTCTCCATTCCCTTTAATTTTGTCATTGCACTTTTCACTGTATGAAATGATCACATTTTTTATGGTTATACTTTCAAGTGAGTTTTACCTCTTTCAAGGTAGTTACCTCTAGCAGCTAAAGACTTATTCCAACCACTATGCCATTTCTTAAAACTTTTAGAATTACTTATTTGGAATTGCTTGTACAGCCTGAAGCCCAGTTCTCAGGGTGGCTCTGATTTTGAGAAAAAATCAAAAGTAATTTGCAGCCTGGTAAATAAAGCTGGCGATAAAGCTGGATAAAAATGAGAGTACTTCAAAATGTTCATGGAAGGGTTCGTATTATCTTTTAATTCTATTTTTCCACAAACTTTTTGAAGTGCCCTGTGTTTAAAAATGAGTGGTGCCTATTAAAAAAGAGAGAAACTGATTTTCTTAAGAAAGACCGATTTTCTAGAATTGGGAAGTTCTCTAAGGCAGGATCCTGAAGGTAGTGATGGAATGAGCTAAACGAAAAACTTCTGGTGTTAGGAAATTAGAAAGTTCCTTTCAAAAAAAATCACCTGCACCCTTTATTATTCCCAAATTCCAAGGAAAGGACGTCACTAAGGAATGGTGTGTTCACAAGAATCTATGCCAACGTGCGGGAAAGAGGGGCTGGCCTGTTAGCTCAGTTGGTTAAAGCCACAGCCTTATACACCAATGTCACGGGTTCGGATCCCTGTGCCAGCGAGCCATCAAAAGATGAAAAAAAAGGGGGGGGGGAATAAAATAAAAATCAGCAGAGACCCGAGGAACTCTCCAACCCCCATACCAACCATAACGAAATCATCCTTCCGATAGGCCTGAAAGGTCTCGTCAAACCCGAACGCCTGCGCCTTGATTCGTCCCAGCATGGACCTGGAGCAGAGGAGGAAAAAAGTCAGCTTGGGGCTGGTACCCTTTCAGAGCGCACGTTCAACTAGTCCCACCCACGGAATCCGCCTTGTCCCCGGGTTACAGCCGCTTCAGCGTCCGGCTCGCGCCTCCACAGCCGCGAAGGCCCAGGGGTTCTTATCTCTCTGCCCCTCGGCCCCTCACCACTGGCGGAGCCGGCTGGTGGTCTCCTGGGCGCTCAGAAACTGGAAAGTCTTCTGAGGCAGGAACCTGAAGTAGTAGCCGCCCAAGTCTCCCGGCTCCCCGGCAGCCATCGTCCTCTTGG